ACTGATCACTCTAAATTCTTTCTTCATTTGGTTATATATTGACCTCTCTGAAAATCATTCTACATTCTAATTTCATGTGGTTAAACACTAACCTCTCTAAAAAAAAACATTCTGCATTCAAACTTTAAACCCTAGCATGTTTTATGTGACTATTTAATTGATGCTGCCTGACCATCACTTACAGATATTCAAGTGCCTATGATTTTAACTAATTAAGCACAATTAGTCATTTATAATCATTGGCACAAATAATGTTACCTAAAATAACTAAGCATTTTAAGCATTAGCCATTATCATATGGTTCTGGCAAGTCAAGTCTAATTTCAAATAACTATAAAATATTAGTAAAACCCCTAACATCTAATAAAATAAACCTGTTTCCCCTGGCTAACGTAGCTACCTTCAGACATCGGGGATGACATCAAAGTAAAAATCTACATCTCACCATCATTTTGCTGCCTATGTGGATCCAATCAATAGAGCTTTTATGTTAAGTCTACAAGTTTTCTTACAAAATCTGGACAGACTTAATTCAAATGTGCCCTTTTAGTTCCAATTATAGATACTGTTAGTGTTATTATAGCTTGCCAATAATCACACCCAAAAAAAACATTCAAGGATATGTGTTACCCTAAAAGTAAATTTATTTATGTATAAAATTAGGTGTTTAATATTTTACACCATTATTATGCATATGAATATAAGTTAGAAAATAGAGTTCATATTATCTGGTGACCTTTAATGGACATGCTATGTTTTAAGATCTAAAGCTTTTTGAATACTTTTACCATTTTTCTACAAGTTCCGAAAAACGCACCCTTTTTAGTGTGCAAAAAGTTCAAAATTTGCAGGTTATTTATCATAAACTTTTTTCTATGAAAGCCATCAAAATTCCCTCATTACAAAAGTTTTATGTTTGCATGAAGAACAATTACTGAAAATATGGTGGGCATTGTTTTATAAATAAAAAAGAAGTAGGCATTTATGTGTTAAAAAACTGCAAACTGGGAAAACAGCAAAAAGTAGGTCAAAAATATACCATTCAGTGTAATTTGTAAAGGTGACTGTGAGTTTTGGGTGTTTCCGAGATGATGGAAATGAAGATTATCAAATACATGAGAAATCCAACTTTCCAATGATGCCAAATAGAATATGATGGTTAATATTAAACTTTTTGTAGAGAGCTTGCAAGATTGGGGGAAAATGATTATTTTTCAATTAATGGGGTCATAGAAATGTAAATACATAAAAAACAATTTTCTCATTAAAGTTAAAATTCTTATGGAAGAATGTGCAAAAAGAGGTTTTGAGAAAAACACATAAAATTAATACAGCTGCCTGATTGGCTAAAACTATAATTTCAAATTGAAGTTTATTTATTCACTTAAAAACGTGGTTTAAAATTGGAAACAAAATTTATACAAAGGTTCACTCATGTTTAATGTACTGAAAAATTATTAAAATTGGATAATTAGTAAAAAATAATTTTTAATTGGACAGATTAATACGAAATAATTATTTTTTTTAAATGTTAATTAAGCCACACTTAATTAATATTTTAAAAACATAATAATTGGTGTAAATTGTTCATAAAGGTTCATTTATTTGAATACACTAAAAACAGAAAATGAGTTTTTTATGATTAATTGGGGCTAATCTTGAGACAATAATAACAGAGCACACTTTTTGATGTATAGCCAGTGAAGCACACTTTACTGTATGCTTCAGTGTAGCCACCCCAAGCCAGTTCAAAGACACTGGTTAGACTGAGCATACCACGAAAATCAATGACATCCATAGACCCCCTGGAGGTCAAATGACAAAAAAATACTTGAAAGCAGAAAAATCATTAGAAACTACAGACATACAGGCCCTCACTCCAGTGACATCTTCATGAGTATCTCACCTTGTTGGTAACAAGTTATGAAGGATTTTACAGTGTAACAAAACAATAAATAAGCTTTTAAATCTATTTTTAAAAAAACTTGCAATCGTTAGAGCAATTGGTGGTTGATAAAATGTGTAAGAGATTCCAGAGCGCCAATGTTTATCCTTGAGAAAGCAAGTTTGCTTTATTTTCACATTTTCAGCATATTTAAAAGGTTATTATAATAAAGTTTGTTTTTATACTTGTAACCCTCACTCAGTGGGGATGCTTTTACCCACTGAGGTGTTGTGGTTAAGACGGGCACAGCATCGAGCCATGACGGCTTTCAAAACAGAGAGAAAAAACTTCAGAAACAAGAAACCAAGAAAAAAACTGTAGCCCTAAAACAAATATAAATAAAAAGTTACATTCATGACAACACCACGAGTAGGCTACAATATACACGGGTACAATAAAATATGTTTCGGCCAGTACACAGTACTGCCAACAAGTACCAATAAGTAGTACTACAAATAAATACTTATATAAATACTCACTCTAACTAGTGTGCAACTGCAGCACTAGCAGGAATACACAAATAAGTATTTTAACGACATAATTTATATAACTACATCTTGGTCACCGTGTCCACAGAAAGCAGCCTTGCGTGTGACTGACACAGCTAGGCACGAAACTACCCACAGTCCCATGTCACATGACATAGGACACAAGTAACATCGCTCACAAGAGCATGAAAAAAAAACTACATCAACAGTTCAGTTGCGGTCCCACAGGGGCTGCAACCCAATGAATTAAAACTTCATTCTTCCCCCCCTTGGCTGGTAACCATATGTGTTACATACTTTTTTCACCTTTTAGATATTAAAAGTTTTAAAAATTAAAATAGTTAATATTAAAGTTTCAAAAGCAATTAGTACTTTTTTTAGTATTCTGTCCATTCTTTAGAAACAACCCATATACCCAAAGTTTTTTATTTAAAACTCAGATCAATGGCTTGCGGTCTGAACTCTAAAAAGCAATTATCTGTCCCTTACTAACTTTCTTGGTTGGCTCTCATGTGTGAAAACGTTAATTAATACAGCTAAGGGGTCATCCATTTATGACGTCCACAAATATTTGTAATTTTAGACACTCCCTCTCCCCCATCCACATGTGTCTATAACGACTTAGTATAAGTTGGGCCCTATATGTTAAGCGCTTGGTCTAGATCATATTGTTTTTAAACTCATGTTTCAAATCTTTGAAATGTTTAAAGTTAAACTAGAAATAGGCTACCATGAATTGTTTTAGAGAATTGGTCAATGCCCCCACCCCCCCCCCCCTCACGCTTGTAAAAATGTGCCGCTTTTTATAATAGTTGGGCTGTATACAGTTACATCTCTGATACATTTATTCACCATTTGGGCTGGTGTTTTTAAACACGAGAACAGCCTATTTAATATATACAGTTTATTTGCAGTTTTTTTTTAATTTATTTAAAAAAAATTTTTATATTAGATGTAAGTATTTTGATGTAAAATTCAACATGTGGACATCCACATTGACACAAACTCCCTCCCCCTGCCCCCCCCCCCCCGTGTGGATGTCATAAATGTCATGATGAATTATTTGATCTTAATTTAGATTTTAAAAAAAGATATTCTTTTGTTCTCAATGTATCTGGAAAAAATGAGATCACTGCATTAGAGGCAATGCAGTACATTCTTAAAGCTGTTTTTAAATTGGGTTTTAAGATGACCCTAGTAAGATAAAAAATAAATTTTGAATAAAGTATTCAGAAAAAGTAAAATAGTATTATAACATGAATATCATACAATAGCTTAATTAATTGTCAATTTATACTAATTTATTTCTAAAATACTAAAAATAATAGCTAGGGGGGATGGGTATTTTATGCATATAGAATAATATTATTTTAAAATTTGTATATAAGAAAATGATTGATACAAAGCCAATGAATTTTGCTTTTAAATCTATGTTTGAAAAATACTGAAGGTAATTTTTGTTTCAAATTTAACAATCACATAAAAATCTTCTCATAATTTTTTAATTTATTTATTGGTAGTAACAGTAAAAGATGCATTATCCTAAATACAAAAGTGTAAAATCTTATATTATTAAAATGTTCCCAATTCAGACATTAGTTCTGTAACAGAGTTTCAAGATCGCTACAGACCTTAAAGCCCTAACAGTAGGTGCTGTCTTAGGTGTCACAATCAGACAGGTGAAATTCATAAGTTTAGGCAAAAAAGGGAATGTTTCAACAACACTATCACAACAAGATTTAAGACATGCTGCAATAAGAGCTCACATATTTGTAAAATGCCAGAACAGTTTCTCATCCAAGCTATACATCAGTTTTTTAACCTTATTAGATCATATATGACTAGTAACCGCTAACTATAAAGTACCGTGACATTACTGTAATACTTGCAAGCTACTTTCCAAACTAACATTAAACTGGCTTATTTGTCTAATACCTAGATCATAGCTGAGAAAAAATATGTTGCACAAACTGACTTGACTGTTTTAACTTGTCTGTAGCCAGTGGCATAGCGAGGTCGCGTGTCACCCGGTGCGGCACTTAATAGTGTCACCCCCCAGAAGCGTAGCGACCCTTCCCGGGGACAAACTTTCAAGTTTTCGATTTGCACCCCCCCCCCTCAAGTTTTTGATTTGCACCCCCCCTCAAACTTTTGATTTGCACCCCCCCCCTCCCCTCCCTCAAGTTTTTCTCTATATATTTTGCTATTTTTTGCCTTAGTGTCACACCCCTAAATGGTGTCACCCAGTGCTGCCCGCGCACCCCCCACCCCCCCCCCCTGACTGTAGCACAAAATAACTTGACTGTTCTAACTTGTAGAGAAGTCTGTAGCACAAACTGACTTGACTGTTTTAATTTGTCTGTAGCACAAATTGATTTGACTGTTCAAACTTGTAGAGAAGTCAATAGGACCAACTGACTTGACTGTTCTAACTTGTAGTTAAATCTGTAGCACAGACATCATTTGTAGACCGTATAAACATTTGAATTTTATTGTTTGATCAGCGTGCTGTAGCCCATATGACTTTGCTGTCTACTGTCTCAATGCTTCTCCTATGTGTTGTGTAGGCCCTGGCTGAGGAGATCCACAGTAAACTGGCGTCCATCATAGAGCTGAGAGATGAGGGGGAGGCTGTCAAGGCAAAACTCAGCCAGCATGACCAGGACCTTGTTACTGAGAAGATAAAGTAGGTCATGGATGATTGGCTCTTATTTTCATATAGTCTCTAGATCACAACAGTCAATTTTAGCTCATTTTGGATATACAACATTTTTGTTGGTAACTAAAGGGTTTTTAATTAATTAATTCTTGGGCAGCCCTTTGATAAAAGCAATTAGGCTATTATAAGTGACCTCGCTTGCACCTTGCACTATTTTGAGTGGGAGCAAAAATATGGGGACAGGGTATAGGATATTATTTGGGATTTTAGTTGCTTTTTTTAAAATTTCTTGATTCACCTGTGCATCATTTGTAGTTTAAATACTTAAAGACTGACTAAAATACTCCAAATCAGCTATGGTTCTTAGGTAAAACAAATCAAGGGTCATAAATGGTATTTTTTCTATCGCCGTCTGATTTTTCTGTGTTTACATGGGTTTTAGCTTGTTTTTTATACAGAGATATAGAAGAAAAATACAAAAGTCTGGAAACTTCGATTCAGCGCAAAATGAAAGGGTACAGCATGATAGAAGCAGACCTGATAGAAATCAAAGAGGAGGCAAGTTTATACATTCAGTGGCTCACTGAACAGGAGGAGAGAATCATAGCTGAACAGTCACATACAAACATAGAAGAATTACAGGTATCTATAGTTTTTTTAATTCTATCTTAAGTTTGCACAGTATAATTATTGTAGTGATCTACTCTGTAAAAATAATATTCATTAAAATTCTTGAATATTTGCAAAAGAAGTGAGAAATAAAAATAGATAGTTAACATTGGTTTTAATTTCATACTATACAGTATCTAGAATATGAACTTCAACAGCGAAGAGTTATCCTAGAATCTGTAGATCAGAAAGTACGTTCTATCCTGAGTGATCTACCATCTGAAGAACGAGAAGCATTTGGCCAGCTGGTGGTTTCTCTTCAGGAAAGACATAACAAACTGCAGAGCTGTGTCAAGGAGAAGTGTCAAAACTTGGAAGAGATGTCTGAGAAAATAAAAGAACTGACTCAAACATTTGAGAAACAGATGCAATTGCTTGATGAAAGAGAAAAAGAAATAAACCAGTTTCAACAGGCGAGGCTTGAAGCAGTCAATGTTGAGAAACAGCTAGAAAAATGCAAGGTTGGTCTTCGTTTTTATTTTTCTGTGTAGAAATGTATGAAGCTTATACTGAATATGAATTTTTTTTTAATAAAATGTTTTATTTTAACTTTTACCTGTGGTGTTGTGAACTACTTACCACATTATCTTATGTGATTTGTGCAAATAGTTACCACATCCTCTGGTGTGATCTGTGAACCTGTTACCACATTTTATGTTGTAGTGTGTGGTGGTCAAGGTGGACAAGCTAAAGGAGAGGCTGGACGGGACATTAGCAGAGAGTCTCAGTCAAGTTTCAAACTGTCAACATGCTGACACATCACAGCTGGACCTAATTCTGGAAGGTCATTGTTTATTTGTCCATCTTCCCTGATAGTTGTTAGATTTTAAAGCTTTATTTCTGTTCAAACATTTTTCATTTAATTAATTGATTAATTATCTACAGGAGTAAGAACAAAGTTAACAAGAGTTCAGGAAACTATCACCCAGAGAATGAATTTCCTACAAAACTCACTGCAGTCTAGAAGAAAATTTGAAACTGATTGCCAGACTATTGATAGATGGTGCAATGACACAGAACATTTGCTAGAAGATCGTCTGCTTAAAGACTGTTCTGTTGAGATCAAAGAGGAGGAGCTACTGAGATTAGCAGTAATCATTAGCTAAAAATTTTTATTGCAATTCAACACTTCAAACAATTTTTGTGCAATTTTAGTCTCTTTAACGCATTTTTTAAATTTAGAAATTTTCAAGAAAGAATCGGAAAGTAGTTCATCATTACTTTCCATGTGGAGTAGCTATTAATTTTTCAGAATGTTTCTGAATAGATTTTTAGTATAATACTTCTATTGATGTTTCAGACTCTGCAGACCTCAGTGCATGAATTTCAATCTTTTGTACAAGAAACAAAAACACTTGGAGAGAGTTTTCTGTCTTCTCTTATTGACAGCGATGCACCTGTTCTTCATGAACTGTTAGAGAGATTGGAATCAAAATATAGCAGGTAGTAGAAGGCACTTGTTGATTAATGGATTTGAAGTTTATCCATTCATTTTTAGCAGGTAGTATAAGGCATTTGTTGATTAATGGATTTAAAGTTTATCCATTCATTTTTAGCAGGTAGTATAAGGCATTGGTTGATTAGTGGATTGGAAGTTTTTTGTAATTTCAACATTTAAATTTTGTTAATGTAGCGTGTCACAGAAATCATCAGAGAAGAAAGTTAATTTAGAAGAAGACATCAAGTTACATAAAAAGATTCAGGCTCAGATAGCAAGTGCTCAGTCATTTCTTGCACTCTGCCAAGATAAGCTGAAGGAATTAAATCTTCCTCTTGGACCTAGTGCACAAGATGCAGATCATAGGCTTAGGATGTCTCTGGTAATTTGATTATTGATGTATGTGTGTATTTAAGAATGGTAATTGAATCTACAGATGTCTCTAGTAATTTAATTATTGATGTATGTATGTATTTAAGAATGGTAATTGAATGTAGTTGTATGTGATCATAATATGTAGACCTTTATGGTAATTTGGTTTTTAATCTGTTGTTGTTTTTACTATTACTGATCAAGTAACTTTTGATAACTTATCTCTGAGATGGACCACAGTCCAATAAAAACTGTGCTATCACTCTCCCATTTCAGAAGTTAAAAGAACAGCTAGATGAGTACCAGGAGAGTATTAGGGAACTTGCAAGTCAAGCTCCAGACCTGAGTCATGTTGGTCATGTGACTGACAGTGTGTCAAAGATCACAGCCATGTACCAGGCGTTGTCCCAAAATGTGGGCCAACATGTTAAAGTTTGCAGCTCAGAACTAGCAGTAAGAAAACAGTTGGAGCAAACTATAGCCATTCAGGGGACACAGCTCACAGACATAGAAACAAGGGTCAACAACTTCCTTTCTGTAAATACTTCATTAGCAGAGTGGATAGAATTTTATAAGGTGGGAAAACACTTTATTCATACTTCAGTAATTGATTAGGTTGATTATTAAAATAGATGTTGAAAATATGAATTTTTTTTTTCAAAAAAGATTGACATACCAATGACTTTAAACTCTGTGTTGTCTATGAATTAAATTTCTAGGAAGTTGATGCAAAACTAGGTAAACTGGAAACTGAGATGCTTCCATCATTAGAGGGAGATAAACATGTTGGCCACCCACGTGAAGATAATGAATCATCAGCTGCTATAAGTGACAATTTAAACAGAGTAAGAACAATTTCTATAATCTTTTTAACATTGATACTGGTAAGAAACACTTTTTAAAGCAAGAAATTTATTATTGAAAATTTCAGCTCAGTCAGCTAAAATCAAGAGTAGAAGACAGTCTGCAACAAGCTGAGAAAATTCAGTACAAAGCTGATAATTTTAAACTGGCTGCAACAGATATGGTATCTTGGCTTGAAGAAAAAAGTATTGCTCTGGCCACATGTGGTACTCTTCCTCTGGACTCCTGTCAAGTCCTTGTTGCCATAGAAAAACATAAGGTAATCTCTTTCTTACCAAATATTTTATTATGCTCATAGCTGGTATGGTTAACACAACAAATGTAAACATTCATTCTTGTGTTCTTTTATTCACTTTTTTTAGGCTACATCAAGTGAAGCTTCTGAGAAACTTGAGTCATTTAAAGGTCTTGCAGCATCAGTGCAAGAAATGTACACAAATCTTGGTCTGTCTTTACCCAGAGACTTCACAGAAAAGCTGGTCCAAGTTCAAGCTCTAGAAGATTCAATCATGGTAAGGGAAGGAACTCAGGCATGCTAAACCTTATTTTTTTACTTAAGTTTTTTTTTTCAATTAAGTTTAATTATGATCACACACAGGCTGCAGTAAGAGAGAAAGAAGACTATCTGAATGTTGCACTCCGTGACAGAAAACAGTTTGAGGATTCAACCAAACACATTTCTCATTGGTTGAAAGAAGCAGCTTCTCTGCTGGATTCTGGTTATGATGGATTGGATTATGATACACTGGATGGAACTCTAAGCAGCTTTACAGTAAGTTATCCATAAACTTTGGAACCTCTTAACTCACCTAGGGGGAAACATACTTAACTGCTTCCACACAGTTTTGACAAAATTAAAAAAAATAAAAACCAACCATTTTATACAGCAAAATTAATTTTTGATAAAACATCAAGATCAGCCACTGGTAAAAAATTTCACAAACTATAACAATTTTCGATTATGAAACAGTTGTATAAATCAAATAAAGTGAATCACCTTAATTATTCTTGTATAAATGTAACCAAGTTCATTAGGTTTCTGCTATTAACAATGGTGCAATCATTGTTTAACTAAGCTGTCTTTTTCAGGATTATTTTTCTGAGTCAAGTGTTTGTGGGGAAGAGCTGGCCAGAGCTAGCCAGTCATCAGAGCGCCTGCTGCCCACACTTGACATCAATGATAGGGCCACAATGGAGCAGATCCTGAAAAATGTCAACCACAAATACTCAACCACAAGCTCTACAGCACACAGCAAGCAAGAACATGCCCAGCAAAAACTTGAAGCGTGGAACAAATTTAAGGTTGGTCATTCTGGCGGGCTGGGATTTGATAAAATTTGTTTAGTTGTTTTTAAAAATAAATGTATTGGTAGAGATCTCATTTTTATGATCAGTTTGTGTATTTCTTACTGTATTTATACGGCATATTTATATTAGCTGAATAAAAGGGAGTGAGCTTCCCTAAAAATGTGTGTATATTTGTGTATAACAGAAAGGTTTGGGATAGCACTTCCAGAAATGGTATGGAAATTTTGTCCACATAACTGAAATGGTTATTAAGTAATTAGCTTTTGAAAGACCTGAACACAAAATACCAAAAATCACCCATGAGTTAAAAAGATACCTACTTAAAGTACCTATGATATCTATCAACCAGAAATGATAATTAAGCTTTTGTGTTTACTTAAGTACAAGATTGCAAAACTGGGTTTTTCTTTGGAAGGAAAGAGTAAAATATCAAGATTTTTTTAAAATCTCAAATTTTGACTTTTGCACTATTACAATACTTCCCCTGTTATTCCAGGCAAGTTTAGCTGAGCTGAGTGAAAAACTTGAAGCCCTGGAGGTAGATTGGGAACAAGTTGACAAGAATGCTGATGCAAGTCCAGATGCTGTCCAGGCACACCTGCACAATGTCAAGGTCAGTCAGCTAGTGTCCATGGTCCAACCTCTATTGTTGTATTTCTTGTGTTGTGTGGTGTCAGTGTACTGATGTACCAATAGCACAGTGCAGGTATTTTCATCATGATTGTCTGACTGAATGTTTTCTTTACACTTTGGCCAGACATTCCTGTCAAGGGCAGACACTTGTCGCAGTCTGGTTGACAGTCTAAACGACATGGCAAGAGATCTCGAACGTGCAGGAAATGTCAACAGTCGTGCTCACCTGAACCGTAAGGTCAGCTCTGTCAACAGCAGATGGGAGCAGCTGACAGGTCAAGCTGAAGCTAGAGTTCTGTCCCTTGAGGTGAGGGAAATATATAGAAACACTTCTCTAGAATATAATTTTGTTTGGTTCCCTAAGATAATTGCATGTTTGGAGAATATTGTATAAGAATATGTTGTATAAATTATAATTTAAATGAATAACTCTGCATTGTTCATTTTCTAAAAAGGGTTTTAGATTACTTTGTAAAACAAAAACATGAAAAAGTTTAAAACATTGAAAGTGTTTCTTACAATTTAGACAGCTCTGTAAAGGAAATTCAATGAAAATTTATAACATTTAATTAATTGGCTAGAACGATTTTAATCAACATTTTGTAATGGGAAACTTTCATTATGACAAACCATTCTTCAATGTTAAGTGTATTTTATAGTTAAAACACTTTTCTTAAATATTGTTACTTTTTATCTGATAAATTAAAGGCCATTCTGCTGTGCTGTATCAGATTTATTATTTTACTTGTTTTTGTGTAAATAAAAATAAATGGATATCTTAACTATTTTTTGTGGTTAAAAAATATCCCTTTCTTATAAGTTTCAGCATATTTTATGATTTAACCATTAAAAACAAATTGTATCTCTATCTGGTAATGTACAGGTAACTTTTAAATAAATACTTCTAAAAATACCATAGTAGGTCATGTTTGGTGTTGATTTTGTGATGCCAGTTTGAGTTAATCAAACAGCCCCCAACCTTCACTAGCACTACAGGTAGATAAAGCAAACAGATTACTGCTGCGACTGTATTCCAACCTAATTTTACATGTACATTTCCTACCACACACCTGGCTGTGTATTGTTTGATTGGGTTCAAAACTTTTTGAATCATGTTTTAGTAGATCAGTGATGACTAGGGGTTGACAACTTTTCTTGTGCATATTTTTAAATGTTTCACTAACTATTGTGTAGGAACTGGGTGGCCAGTGATTAGAGTTGACAACTTTACCTGTGCATATTTTTAAATGTTCCACTAACTGTTGTGTAGGAGCTGGGTGGCCAGTGGTGTGACTTCAGCACAATGCTGTCATCTCTACAAAGTGTCATCTGTGAGTCTGAGCACAGGTCAAGTACTGTATCCAGGGGTGCCATGTCATACACACAGCTTCAGCAGCGCAGTCAGGAAATTAAGGTCAGTTTTATTTTCATTTTCCACAACAATCAGCAGATTGAAAAGATGAGTATTTTATTAATCAAAACAATTCATCATCTTATTTTAAAATGTATTAATTAAATATAAATTTGTGTCCTTACCTTTTTTAAAATAAATTCTATTTCTAGTTGCAATGTTATTTTGTCTAAAGAAATAATGTCTTTATTGAATAGCTTTTCACATCAGCTTCACAATTATTATTTATAGAAAAAACATAATAGAAGAAATCTTTGAAGATGTAGAGAATAAAATGGAGTGATGTAGAAGAATGTTGAAATATTGAGTGTTGTAGTGTAAGTGTTGAAAGTTTTAGCAGAAATTGTCCAAAGTGTTGTGCTACAGTACAACAACATCTACAATAGCAATAAACTACATGTATGGAGAGCAGTTTTAACTACCTGTTGACTTTGATGTTAGATTTATGACTGTGACTGATAAGTTATTGTATCCTACATGACAAGTGGCAGAGATTACACTCCCTTGGCAAACAATAAAACCCTACCCTTGATTCCTTTAGGAGATCCTTGATACTTTGGAAAACCTGGAGCCACAGGTGACACGCCTGCACTCAACCAGGCTGACTCTACAGAGAGCTCTCCCTACAGCAGAGGCTAAAATAGCTTCACAGGGGCAGTTTTTAAATCTTGTTGAAAGATACGAAAGGTAACTTTAGTCACTAATATTACCCAATTTATGGAACATAGAAGTAATAAAATGCTTAGTTACCAGAATTATAGAACTTAGCTAAGTCTCTTGATTAGACTTAAATAACTTGTGTTCAGACTGCTGAGTCAGGTGAGAGAAGAGTATGCAGCTGTTCAAGCTGAGCTTGACCAACATGATGAATACATGTGCAGCATAGACCAATCTCTCACTGGGCTCCACACTTTGCTGATGGATGTCCGCACCATTACATCAGAGACTTCTGGGATGGAGAAAGCTTTAACAAAACTACAGGTACAGCTTTACACCTCACCTGGTTGTCTTTACACCACACTTGGTTTTCTTTACACATCATCTGGTTTTTACACCTCACCTGGTTGTCTTTACACCTCACCTGGTTGTCTTTACACCTCACCTGGTTGTCTTTACACCTCACCTGGCTGTCTTTACACCTCACCTGGTTGTCTTTACACCTCACCTGGTTGTCTTTACACCACACCTGGTTTTCTTTACACATCACCTGGTTTTCTTTACACATCACCTGGTTTTTACACCTCACCTGGTTGTCTTTACACCTCACCTGGTTGTCTTTACACCTCACCTGGTTGTCTTTACACCTCACCTGGTTGTCTTTACACCTCACCTGGTTGTCTTTACACCTCACCTGGTTGTCTTTACACCTCACCTGGTTGTCTTTACACCTCACCTGGTTGTCTTTACACCTCAGCTGGTTGTCTTTACACCTCAGCTGGTTGTCTTTACACTTTACCTGATTGTGTTTACACTGCAAATCCTGACAAGCTTATCCTTACAGTCCTATGAAACTTGACCTGGCAGAAATATATAGACACCTTATCTTTCCCTGTCAGAACTACGAACAATCCCTGGCTGCAAGTGTGGAACACAACAAGCAGCTAGCATCAAGCCTGGAGTACAGCTACACCTCGCAGGGCCAGATGTTTCCTATGGAGGTCCAGGACAAGCTGGTCGAGCTCCATCAGCTGGAAGCAGAAACTCTGGCGGCAGTGAAGGAAGCTGAGGAGGAGTTGTTCAACTTGGCTGAAGATAGAGCTGAGTACAGGGCCTTGCTTCAGGGGGTGACAACATGGCTACACAAGACTGACATTTACCTAAGGGAGAGAATCCTCGACATTTCAGAAGCCACGTGCAAGCAGCAGGTAAAGTTATCAAAAACGTTATCTTAAATTAGACTTTCCTTTCAAAATGTATAGGCCTACTGCCCGTTGCTACTCTGTCACCCATTCTATACCCTCCACCATTCGTATCTTTACTATCTGCTTCTCACTAGTCTCTGGGATAACATTAACAACCATAAAGCCGCTAATCCTACTAGAGACCTACTAAAACATTATTAGCTTACAATATATTGTTAGCTTGCTTGCCGAAACCACATACAGTAATCCCCCGCTCGACTTTTGGTGGTGTTAAGTTTAATACAACACCCCCTCTCTTTCTCTCATACACGGAAACACCACCTCGCGATTAGTGAAAATATCCGTAGAGACCTGATATGTTAAAGTGATTCACCGGGCTATTGTTGGTCAATATTGTAATGTTTGTCTGCAAATAGCAGGCAATTCGGCACTTAGAGCGCACTCAAACGACAACGACATGACCCGGGGTTAGATGGGGCGCTGGACGGGTAGGATTCAATATGTACGCCATAGTAGCATACGGCAGGTCGAGAGCTTGACCCCTAGCCTTGACCGTGAGAAGAAACGATCGGAGATTTTTAAAACAAGATTTACGTGTTCGGTGTTCGTATTCCGGGCTCGCGTCACTGGGAGGTCCTCGGGTCTACCTAGATTGGAAGTTACAGGTCGTCTGGTATATAGTGCTGACCACGGTATCCCTTCCTTTGTCGAGGAGTTTTCTTATCCACGCTAGCAGCTGAATCTTTTTGTGTGAATATTTGTCTTTTAAATCCCCAGACTGCGCTAGCTAGTTACATAGTGAACTCACTTATTTCCAGTGTTTCTTCCAGACTTTTTTTTCTCGGGGGGGGGGGGTGCCTTAGACTGTTAAAAATATATATTTTCTATATAAATTCCATTTCGTCCGAAGAGATGCCTGGAAGAAACGCTGCTAATTTCTATTTCAACCCTGTATAGCATTTCCTCATCGGCTATATCGATTTTTTATGTCGCCGAACCATGATAATTAATAACTTTAGCCGATTTAATTGCTACTTTAGAGACTGAATGCAACTTGACCCAATCGTCATCATCCATTGTGTTTCTGCTCCTTCTTACTTCATGTGGTAAAAATTACATGAATATTTTTAAAACAATGGAAATTTGGATTCTTATTATATTTTTCAATGAATTTAATTTTACAAATCATATACTGAAAGTTATATGTAATTGAGCTAGATATTTAAAGAATTAGAATTGCGAATTGGGTTTTTGCTATCACAGTCGAAATTTTTAAATATATATATTCTAATACTAGTTATGCGGCATATCTGCATTTGGTTTTTTTTTTTAATCTTTGTTGTTAGCAAATCTGTAGATCAATTTAGATTATGCTTTGGCCGATCGCCTCATGAAACAAATCGCAACAAAGCTGTTGTGAAAAGAAAAGCCCCCCAAAACTTGCCTGTACATTCTCATTGACTAACACACATCTCGTGGATAAAGAAATTCAAAGTACGTTGTGTACTTACGTGCGGGCCTACAATAATCTACTAGTACATAGTCGGAAGCATAATAACTGATTTGCACTAACTTGTGTGGGCCTACAATAATCTACTAGTACGTAATCTGAAGCATCTAGCTGACTTACACTAACTTGTGTGGGCCTACAATAATCTACTAGTACGTAATCTGAAGCATCTAGCTGACTTACACTAACTTGTGTGGGCCTACAATAATCTACTAGTACGTAATCTGAAGCATCTAGCTGACTTACACTAACTTGTGTGGGCCTACAATAATCTACTAGTACGTAATCTGAAGCATCTAGCTGACTTACACTAACTTGTGTGGGCCTACAATAATCTACTAGCACGTAATCTGAAGCATCTAGCTGACTTACACTAACTTGTGTGGGCCTACAATAATCTACTAGTACGTAATCTGAGGCATCTAGCTGACTTACACTAACTTGTGTGGGCCTACAATAATCTACTAGTACGTAATCTGAAGCATCTAGCTGACTTACACTAACTTGTGTGGGCCTACAATAATCTACTAGCACGTAATCTGAAGCATCTAGCTGACTTACACTAACTTGTGTGGGCCTACAATAATCTACTAGTACGTAACCTGAAGCATCTAGCTGACTTACACTAACTTGTGTGGGCCTACAATAATCTACTAGTGCGTAATCTGAAGCATCTAGCTGACTTACACTAACTTGTGTGGGCCTACAATAATCTACTAGTACGTAATCTGAAGCATCTAGCTGACTTACACTAACTTGTGTGGGCCTACAATAATCTACTAGCACGTAATCTGAAGCATCTAGCTGACTTACACTAACTTGTGTGGGCCTACAATAATCTACTAGTACGTAATCTGAGGCATCTAGCTGACTTACACTAACTTGTGTGGGCCTACAATAATCTACTAGTACGTAATCTGAAGCATCTAGCTGACTTACACTAACTTGTGTGGGCCTACAATAATCTACTAGCACGTAATCTGAAGCATCTAGCTGACTTACACTAACTTGTGTGGGCCTACAATAATCTACTAGTACGTAACCTGAAGCATCTAGCTGACTTACACTAACTTGTGTGGGCCTACAATAATCTACTAGTACGTAACCTGAAGCATCTAGCTGACTTACACTGTCCCGGGCAAGGAAAAAATGTGGCCTCTCGGCGATCGTTTTCATTATCGATTTAAAGTTGAAGAGTTTGATATTAAAAATTGGATCAATTGATCTATCGATTCTTCAGGTAGTCGGGCCCGCATGTGAATCGAATGTAATCTCTGGCTGGCGAGTGTGTCGGGGGTGTAAAATTTGACAAAAACATTTCAAACAATGGGGCACTGGTAAACGTGTGATAACGTGGCGTGTTGCTGTGCCGAGTGCAGGCCACACGACTATTGGTTTCTCTCGAGAACTTTGGAGGAGCGATTAAACAATTGTGGGACTTGATTGATTGTTATCTAGTGACGAGACAGTGGATTAACCTGCCCTTATAACCCGCCCATAACACGATCAGTTTACGGGTAGGCGCTATGGTTTAGTTTAACGTGTGCATCAAGTCGCTTCGTTCAGTAAGTTCTTTTTGTTGTTGTTATTTATTTGGTTCAATCGGCATTATTAGTTTTTTGTTCTATTAAATGTTCATTGTATCAACACAAGTGCTTATTTAAATACACTTGATTTACAACGAAAATATTAACAGTGCTGTTTATGTTTGTGTATGGCCTTCCTTGATGAGAACAATGTCCGTTATATGACCACCTTTTGTAAGGAACAAGCTAAAGCTCTACACAAAAAAGGTTCAAGAGCCGTATTCGGCTCCAAAGCCTCGGTTTACTGACCACTGTCCTAGTAGACCCTTTCCAACCTATAACCGTCTGTTCAGATTTTGACAAGTCTTAGTGTTAATGTTGTACATCCTTCCTGGTGCGGAAAATACTTATTGTTGCTGTTTTGTCCGTCTGTATGTGTGTTTGTGAATACGATACTTTAAGTACCGTTTCATTTATGTTGATGAAATTTCATAGAAGTATTATATCAAATTTGTCCAGACTTGTATTGTTAGCATGTTCTGGGCCAGACAAATATCTTAGTCGCTTTTTAACTGTAAGGGTCAGTAGCAACAATCTCCTCCTCCCAGTCTCTGCTTATCTTGTGATACTCACAGGTCAAGCTGACCGGTGACTGGAGATGTGCATAAAAATTGCACAATCAACATTTTTTTCAAAGCTGGTTGATCAATTGTTGGCACAGCAAAATTATTGATGTGTGTGTTGATTGGCTGGTCCATAAATTAACGACTAGACACTTGTTTGTGTGGATCAAACAGCTCTAATGATCCCTGTCGTGATTTAAACCTTTCAATACCTCAGTGAAGTGTTCGATCTAGGTTATAGATCGATGCCGTGTATTGATTGATTTCTTCAAACAAAACGTAAGTATGCGACAGCTCTGCTGGTATGTCCAGTCAAATTTACAGCACCGGATATTGTATGCTTGTAAGGTGAACCTCTGCAGACGTCAGGGAATTATGTGCGTCCAATGTTGCAATCTTTCTAAGGTGAACATTTAGCAGGCGACAAAGACGTTCAATAGACGTAATGTCTGCTGGTTGGTTGTTGACACGTCTACCCGTCATGCAACACCATTCATGCGGGTCCTCTCACAACTACCTGAGTCATTTGTAACTACCTGATTCTCTACAGCATTAAGTCTACTTTTGACAGACAGAACATCATTTGTAACAGAAAGAAAACAACGAATAAGATCATATACCTATGCATGAAATCTCGTATCGCTAACTGATATTTTATATTTTTAAAAACCAAAAATTGAGTAAAATACCCCTTCCGAATATCGAAAGTCACTAAAAATTTGAAAATGATATAAGTAAAAGTTCTTTTACTTAAATGTGAAATTTCGTCTACGTAAATATAACAGTTCTCAGGTTATTGTGCTTTCACGGAAATATAGTAAAGCACCTTTTTCTATTACCGGAAACTTTCGAAAGTTATCAGAAACCTGCGCATACAATGTAATACTTAAATGTACAATTTCGTCTACCTACCTCAAACCTTAAAGTTATTGGCTTTTGAGAAATTGCGAGTAGAGTAAGTACCACTTCCGGTTACCAGAAATAGCTCAGAATCTGATACAAAACTACACATTTTATATAATACTTATATAGGAAGTTTCATTAACCCATATGAAACGGTATTCAAGTTATCGTGTTCACAGACACACATACATGGACAACACTGCAACACTATGTTGATCCGGAAGGATGTACAGCAATTAAAACTAGTCAAAATCTCAATTTAGATTTTTTTTTACGATTAAAATGATTATATTCCGTATACAAAAACAGTAGGGCGGTGTAAAACGTCGAAAACTATTACAAGTTTATTTATTACTTTCTCGTATACGAAGAAGGCTATAGATCTAGGGGAAGTATTATATTCGTGCAAAAAATCGAAATTGAGATTTTCACAAATCTCGACGTTTTACGCCTCCATGAGTCGGAAAAACATAGTTTTGCAATTTTGTCTGGATGTCTGTGTGTGTATGTATGTATGTATGTCTGCATGTCTGTAAACACGATACAGCTAGGTTGATGCAATATCATATATGTTTTACATCAATTTGTCGTTCTGTTTTAACTTCTCAGTGATTTCCGATAGCCGGAAGTGGGATTTATTCTACTTTTGGTTTATCAAAAGTCTATAGCTTGAGAACTGTTTCAGACAGATAAACGAAATTTCACGTATAAGTAATAATTCTCTGCCTTCTATCAAATTTTGAGTAATTTCCGTTGAACGGAAGAGGTACTTTACGCTATTTTCGATTTCTCAAAAAAACACATATGAATTTACAAAGTACTAATATTCCGCATTGTTATACGCATATTGTTGCTGTTCACTTGGTGCGCAATTTTTTTTACGAGATTCTATTCTATTTTTAAAAGTTAAAGCATGTAAAAGATTCATAAAAAACGTTTTAATAAGAAGTCTTTATTTAATAGTGCACTAAAAAGTAGAAAATAAATGATTTTCTTCAAATATATAATAATGCACTACTTTTTAAATAACTATAAATAAAAGCGTGGGTCACTTTATTATCAGATAAAAGTGACCCACACTATTGGATACTTTTACTAATATGTAGGAAGAGACCCACGCTTTTCTTTATAGTTATTTAAATAGTAGTGTATTATTATATATTTTTTTTTAAAATCATTTATTTTCTACTTTTTAGTGTATTATTGCATAAAAACTTCTTATTAAAACGTTTTTTTATGAAAAAAAAATACTTAGATTTTGTTATTTACATTAGAATTGCATGATTAAAAACTATTGTGCACCTAATGAACATGATAACGCACGGAATAGTTGGATAAGTGTCTACTAATTTGAGAAAATGTTAACTAATTCATAAAAAATTAATTAGGCATCCAATCAAGTCAAATTCAATGTCAGATTGCATTGTCTTCATGTTTTAACCCACGTGCCAACCTTGAAACGAATCTGTCAGTTAGAAGTGCCCGAAATTTCGCTCGAGCGTTTCGATCTATGACGACAGATAGACATATAGTCTGTCGACAGACAGACAGAGGAATCAAGTTAAAGAAAAGCTTGTACAAAGCGTGTCTATGTCTCGATTTGCCATCCTCATAGTATTAGATAAGAATATACGAGAACGTTTAGGGGAGATCACCCCCGCTTTATTTATTTTTTCTGCGCGATTTCAATACTTTCTCAATGCTCTGGATACAAGAAAGTAAAATACTTTTTAAAATACAGAAGTGTTACGTTAGAATGATGAACCACCCATCCTTCATGTCGTATGATATGTACCCAGTCGTCCCCCCACTCCCCTTTAGTTATGTAGCAACTGACGGATCACTAGCATGTACTAACATGACAGTCTGTGGCTATTGGAAGCACGGACTCAGAGGCGTAGCGAGGGGGGGGGGGTGCGGACCGCACCGGGTGACACCATTTAGGGGGGTGACACCAAGGCAAAAAATAGCAAAATATATAGCGAAAAATGATATTGTTTTAAGAGGTGCAAATCGAAAGTTTGAGGGGGGGGGGGGGGGGCGGGGGTGCAAATCGAAAGTTTGAGGGGGGCGGTGCAAATCGAAAATTGAAAGTTTGTCCCCGGGAAGTGTCGCTACGCCTCTGGGGGGGGGGGGGGGTGACACCATTAAGTGCCGCACCGGGTGACACCCGACCTCGCTACTCCGCTGCACGGACTTTTTAATTTTTAGTCAACTGTGAAAACGATATTCTACATGATGGTAGTACTGTTCTAATTTTGCTCATCAAACGTTTTATTCCCTACTGCTGAATTTGAAAACAAACAAAAAACGGTTTTTTTTTTCAATTTCCGTCAATTGAAGTATTTGTTTCAGACATTAGAGCAAGAATTTGAAGAGGTCAAAGTTCACCTTCAACGATTGAGGACAAAGGGAGGGGACATAATCCAAAAGTCTTCAGATTCTGAGGAGAAACAAAGCGTCCAAAAAACTCTGTCTGACGTCAACCGACAGTGGCTCACATTACAGGTAACTGTTGCAGTAGTGAAGGAGCAATCAATTTAGTGGCTCACTGTACAGGTAACACTTGCAGTAGTGAAGGAACAATCCATTTAGTAGTTCACTGTACAGGTAACACTTGCAGTAGTTAAAGTGAGGGCGTAGCTAGTGGTAGAGTGCTAGACTGCAAACCCAAAAGTCTCGAGTCCGGGTTCAAGTCAGTAGAAAGTCCCTTAGTCCGCTCAACTATGATGAGTACCTAACTTACGTTTGGGAAAGTAAAAGCGGCTGAGCATAGTGCTAACCACACAATCTATGTGTGCACACACACACACACACAATCTGTGTGCACGCACACACATAACCTATGTACACAAACACAACTTATGTATACACACAACCTATGTACACACACACAAACACGTTATTTGTAGACACCTAAAATATCTCTCCACAGTCACGAGCAGGGGACTACGCCAAAGAACTTTCAGAAGCTGCTGATCTATCTCATGCTATTGATGATGTAACCAACGGTCTACGGAAGTGGGTGGAGCAAGCAGAAAAATTAGTTCTTGTTGACATTGAATGGACCAATCGTGATGGACTTAAAGAAGCTTTAAAAGTCCACAGGGTAAGCAAAGACGACACATTATAACTGTCTGGTTCGACCTATAACGGACTGGTTTGGCCTATAAGGGTCTGGTTCGGCCTATAACAGACTGGTTTGGTCTATAATGGACTGGTTCAGCAGCCTATTTGATATATTTATTACATAGCATACTTTATTAGGCTTATCCAAGTCCACATGGACAAAATATCTTGGTAGTTTGAAGCAACTCTTAAACTTGCCTTCACCAGAGGGTCCAGAAGGAATTGGGCAACAACGTGGACAAGGTGATAGCCCTGAATGCTATGGTCAAGCAGCTAGAGCAGGTGTGTGATTCATCAAGAAACATGGTGAGAGTAGACGAGCTGCGGCAGAGAGTAGAGGCCATACAGATCAATACAGGTGAGGTCAAAGGGCAGAGGGTCAAGTGATCTACTTCGTTTCATCTCATATGCACTTCTTACACACCAGTTTCTGATAAAGCAGCAGTTTTCAACGTATTGATAACTGCAAATAATGCAAAAAATACTGGTAAAATTTCCGGAGATAGTTTCCGATGACTATTTCCTTTCTTTGTTGATCTGTTCAACCCCTAACTGTCTACTCTGAAGTTTAGGATTCAGAGGCGTAGCAAGGGGGGGGGGGGGTGGAGGGGGTGAAACCTTGATAATTCGCCCCGGGCGCCGTTATAAATCACTACGCCTCTGTTAGGGTTATGCTTTTACTAATTTCTACTAGGTAACGGATATATTTCATGGGATGAGAGGTCAGTTGTAAAAACAAGGTAGTTAGAATGTTCCGACCCGCTTACATCACTAGATGTATCTTGTGCTACTTGATAATGTTAATACTCATCAACTTATCTCAAACATTAGACGCCCATCTCTCTACACTGGAGGATGTGAACAAAAAGATAGATGAGCACGAGAAGGAGATCAATGAACTGATGAAATGGATTGAACAAACCAGGCAGAGGATGACCATGAGGGACACAACTATTGACCTGCACAATCAACTGGCCATACAGGAGGTACGTGCTCGCATGTCCGGGGCATGGGGCAGGTGTTTCATTGGGCGGGGCAGTTCGGTGTATAAAGAAGTATGGGTCAGTCATAGGGGTGGTCAGATGACAATTCTTAACATGAGGTAAATGTTGGCTGCCTTAAATTTAAAAAAAAAGAGCTACCTCGGACATAACCTGGCCATTCAGGTAGTGAAGTGGATTGAAAGGTTTGATTATTTAAAGCTAACAGGTAAAAATGATGAACTCGCCTAACCGTGTGCTGTGTATCATAACAAACTATACCACCTGCTGGGACATTAATCACTTTGACACATCAATCAAGGAGCAGCTTGGGTAAACTGGTGATTATTATAGTCGTCCTAGGTAAACAGTTTTTAATAGGTGAAACTTAGCTACGCAAATAGCTATTGTAGTTGCTTGACCTGTATAGCTTGAGCAAGCCGGGCATTCAAAGATCTGTCAGGAACGTGACCCACTTTATATGTACATGTATTCAGGATTTGTCATGTGGATACAGAACATGTTCTGTTTGTAACACGATAAAACGATGCCGATTTGGTGTTCTGGATATAAAGATATAATTTAGTCACAAGAACATCAAATGAGTGCGCATGCGTTGTAGTAGGTTGATCACTTGACGACCAATTAATACAAAATTGTGCTAAGTGGCAGTAGCGTACGCAGGGGGGGAGCAGGGGGAGCGGCCGCTCCCCCTCTGGCCATTTTCAGCAAAGTGGCGCCTTTTTGGAAACTTTTTAAACTCAAAGTTTTAAACAATGATATTTATTTGTTAAAAAAAATTTTGGTCGGCACATCTATGTAAATCACAAGATTTCTTTTCATGCAGCAATTAAGCATTATTGTACTAGTCTAGTAGTGTCTACGTTTACAACACGTATTAACAGCTGCATCAGTTTGCCATTCTAAAAATAACCATTACGGTGCATTGCAATGTTTAAAAAACCTCTACGGTAAAACCACTTGGCAAGAGGGGTGATAAGTTTAAGGCAACTTTCTAATGTATTTGCTTACAAATAATTGATGTGTCACCTCTATTTAAATTTACTTATGAGCAAACTGCGTAGTGTTGGGGAAATTTTGACGTCATAGCGATGAAGTAGTATTCTTACAGTTCGGCTGATAGTGATTACGATTACAAATTATATGAAACAGTTATAACCCCCCTCCCCCATGGACCCCTCTGTAAAAAAATATTGTCATAATACCACTGCTACTTATTTAAATCTACTTCTGTAATATATATTTGTGTAATATATATTTGTGTAATATATATGTATGTTTAGAACAGTCATCTAAAAACTGACGCTATGTTCAATCTGAGTTGGTTATCTCCCCCCCCCCCCCCTCACCACCACAATTGTGTAGAGCGACATTAATGTCACACCTAGGTATACACCGGGTTGGATAATTGACCTAAAGTGAACGGACAGTGGTGAATGAATGTTGAACCCACCCGCCCCCCCCTCCCAACCCACCCCGAACTGATCTGTTAAGTACATGTAGAAAAACGGGTAATGATGTACCAAAGTACCATGCCGCCAGAAAATTAGCTTTCTAACGTAAAGCTCTGTGAATATTGTTTTTGCAATTACCAGTAAAAAGTTTTGTGATCGATACAGTTAAAAAATGATCTTTAAAGATCACAAAGAAGCAGTAGGTAATTTATTTATATGATCTGAACTAAAAGATCGATCTTAAGTTAAACGTAAGATGTTACTCTGAATGCTTTAGCTATTTTAACGAAAAGCTTGCTTTTATACCAACTCTGATTTTAAAAACTTTCATTGTGCTGTATTACTTTAGCATTTATGATGACGATATATTAAATTTTGATTATAGACAAAAACGTTTTGTAAACACGAATAGTGTTAAACAATTGCATTATAATCTAAAGTAAATATTTATTTGTTTTGACATTTATAATTAAATGTGTAGATATATACATATTTATATTATGAGAGTGATTATTTCCCCTATTTCACTTGTCTTAAATAATTTCCCAGGAAGAATTCTGTAAGAAATATTTTTTTACAAGAATTACAAAACAGACTGTGTTACGTTCATTTTTTTGGTTGTAGTGTGTGTGTATATATATATTTTTTTTTTTTATTTAGATTGATACAATTTTTGTTTTGTCGGCCTACATTGTGCGTTTTTTCTATTTTTTTCTTTAGAGAGCTACTTTCAATTTATTTTACATCATAGCGAAGTAATGACATACAGCTAGTATATATATATATATATATATATATATATATATATATATATATATATATATATATATATATATATATATATATATATATATATATATATAATACACGTATATAGAAGATGTCAAAAATTTGGCGCCTTTTTTTTGCTCTTTTCGCTCCCCCTACAACGAAAACCTGGATACGCCTCTGCTAAGTGGGTAGGTTTGTCGTCAAATGTTTTCGCCGATTTCTCGATCGATTTCTTTACACATGAATGAATCTCCAATAGCAGCACAATAAATATAATTTTTAATCTGATTAGCTGTTAAATAATTAGTCAATACAATTGAAATAGAAAGTTAACTACATATATAATGTGAATCCTTATTGTACTAATTTTTTTTTAAAAGAATCACACGACTTACAATCATGACAGTCACAAGTCAACTCTGGTTCAACATATTAAACAAGTTAATAAAAAGTCTAGTGACAATTTAAGCGCAATTTCCTTAAGTTATCTAAAAATAGATAGTGATCACAAAGACGTATAATGCGGGGGTGCGTTCAAGCTAGGAGAACGATCGGTTTGTAGGTGTTTATGTAATTTAAAAAAAAAAATTGTGACCGAACGAAAGAATATTTTTGAAAACTTTCTTCGGCAATATTGTTCTAAATTATGGCTGGAATCGATTGGTAAATCTTTCAAGTCGCTAAGTGGTCTGGTTGTCGAGATATGGGCCAAAAACTGCATTTTTTTCGAGGTTTTTTTTTTTGGCTTTTCCGGGAAATCCAGGAAGAAATTCCGGGAATTTTTTTGGCCCACAATCATCCTCGGAACTTGCTTAACATATTTGCTTTTGGAACTAGTCCTCGATATTGCTTCGTTGTGGAGGAGACACGACTTAAAGCTGCGGTAAAGCTGCGGACACACATCCATTCATTCATCCATCCAGAAATGACGAGTTAATAATCACAATTGTCCGTATGGAAATTGCGCTAAAAAATAAAAAGTATGTTCGCAACAGCACGCATATGCACGATCAACGCACGCATGTATAGGTGGCATTGACACGATTCGTGACGTGTGCGTATCGTGATGTCAAAGGTTCTACGATGTAGAAATATCTACCAATAAATTTTGTCTCGCTCTGTCGAACTTTATTACTATGTCGCAATGTTGCACCCCCCCCCCCCCCTCAAACTTTTGATTTGCACCCCCCTCGAACTTTTCATTTTCATTTGCACCCACCCCTCAAACTTTCGATTTGCACCCCGCTCGAACTTTTCATTTACATTTGCACCCACCCCTCAAACTTTTGATTTGCACCCCGCTCGAACTTTTCATTTTCATTTGCACCCACCCCTCAAACTTTCGATTTGCACCCCCCCCCCCCCCCCCAACCTCGAACTTTTGATTTGCACCCCCCCCCCCAAACTTTCAATTTGTTTTTCCAACCCATTTTGGCGCCCCCCCCCCCTAAGGTCGGCGCCCGAGGACATATGCCCCCCCGCCCCCACCCCACCCCCCTCGCTACGCCTCTGCTATGTCGTTCCGTCCCGCTGTCGTATTTTGTCATCCACCGCGGCCACTTGTTGTACGTCAGAACTGACAAAATACTATTGCAAATCACATTGTGCGTCTTCACCACCCCTGAACCCTTAGATTGACTCACCGAACCCATGGGGTTCGATAGACACCAGGTTAAGGACCACTAATATAAATCATCATTTACGATGTAGTTACAGTAAAGTATATAATAAACCATGATTTACGATTTAGTTTACAATAAGGGATATAATAAAATATCAATGTTTCTTTCGGGCTTTTTCTCGGGGGGGGGGGGGGGGGGTAAGAGACAATTGTAAAATATATTTTTTTCGATATAAATTCTATTTGGTCCGGATTGCAGCAACCCCCCCCCCCCTTTTTTTTTCTCCCCGAAAAGATGCCTGAATGAAACTCTGTAAACCATGATTTACGATTAATTTGTATACAATAAGGGATTTAAACCATTATTTACCGTTAATTAGTTTTTTTTTCTATATAATCCCCTTTTCTTGAATGTAAATTATTAATTAATTAAAATAGGCCTGTCCAAATAGTTTTTAAAACTTTACGTGTATGATTCAACACTTTAAAATTAAAAACAGTTGCTCAACATTTTACTCCATTTAAATGTCTGTGATGTATTAGCTACGTATGTCGACCTTTGTCTTGTAGTATTACTCATGCTAAGACAAGAGCGGGTGTGTCTAGTGCTCTTGTTGTAGTCTCCCTATTCTATTGGTTATTTCCCCTGCATATATTGCCATCCCATAGTACGCAACGTTTTAAATGGCAGTGCAGGTGTTTTGCAGCAAAGAAGAGGGCGAAATTACCGGATCGAGGGTAAAAATTGCGCCAGCCTCACCGTATTTACGTTTGGTGGTTGGGCGTGTGCCAGGCGCTCTCAGCTGGCTGGTTGTGTGAGAGGGGGTGGGGACACGGGGTGACGGTTACCTTGTGCTAGGTGCTAGTACCAATGTGCGCGATACGCCGTCAAGTTTGAAATGTTCGAACACATGGATTAATGTCAAAACTGTTGGTTCATTTAGTGGATCGTACTTCTCAGGCGTGTGTTTCTGTAGACTCGTGTGGTGTAGGCTGTTGTGTTCATTGTTCAATGCTAGTTACGTCATGCGTAGTTGGGTGGGGAGCAGGATATAGTCATCTATCAGCAGTGCTCACATCACAATGGTATCAGCCGACTATAGTGGGGTCTATCGGCTGTAGATCTAGATCTAGTTACA